ACCGCCCCCCCCCCCCCCCCCCCCGCCCCCCCCCCGCCCCCCCCCCCCCCCCCCCCCCCCCCCCCCCCCCCCCCCCCCCCCCCCCCCCCCCCCCCCCCCCCCCCCCCCCCCCCCCCGGACAAGAATAGATATCAGGCAACTCGACCTCGATATCCGTCTAGATATAGATTGGCCATCCTTGTGTATACTGCGCCCGTTGACGGTGTCGATACGGAAGGTTGGATGTCGAACGTCGTGTGGAGTGTTTGTCTCCTCTGAGGCTCCCTCTTGACGACGCCATGGCCTCAGGTGGCCAGGTGTGTACGACCTCTTGAGTTGGGATGGATTGTGACAGCGCGCCTGACTTCATTACCCTGCAGAACTGATGGCCGCTAGCGAGATGCAAGTGCGGGAGCTAGCATGCAGGGTCGTCCCCGACGGGGATGCAGGCACACAGGTCAGTCATACATATGCAATATCATTAGTGCTGATATATCTCGATACTCCTTCAGCATGGAAGGATCCAATCTAGTGTGCTCCCCGCAGTCCATGCTCTTGCTTCCGACTTTCGACAAAGAAATACCTAATGCAAGGATAGGTACCTAGGTACCTTAGGTAGGTCCATGCCTACCTAGATGCCTTGCCTCTACCCCAGACACCCACAATCTCCACCGGTGCCATGATCCTTGCTCACCTTGCCTCGTTCATTTCACCCTCCCCTGACCCTGACCTCAGGCCGTATCTCACAGGCAAGTAAACCACTTCCACCGCTCTTCACGGTCTCTCGAGAAACCCGTCGTTATACTCAGCAGTGCCCGACTTGACGGAGAACTGCGTCTCCGAGTCTTTAACTAAGGCATTTCTCCAGGGCACAACCCTTCTGAACTACTGACATCATGTCCTACAATATCGTCACTCCGCCCAGGATGGTGCGGATCCCGGTGCATGTCTACGCCCACGACAGCCTGGGGCCGGTACACGGCGACCTTCCTGACATTATGTTCCGAGTACTGCTGTGCCAGACGACCACCGTCAGATATCTTGTTCAGGCTCTATGCACGGCGTGGAACCGGAAGCGGAAGCGGAGATGCTGGCAAATTGGGAAGATCCTCGACAAGAACGGCGACGAATTCGAGTGTGCAAAGGACACCGTATGGGGAGCCTTGGGTCTCTTGCCAATCTGTGTCATGAAGGCACCTCCGGTTTCTCGACCCGATGTTGAGCCACCTCTGATCACTCCGGGGGGGCCTGTCGACCCCTCGCTGCACAGCTCTGAGGCGGACGAAGAGGGGGAAGTGTGGTTCTGCAAGGATTACTTGCCGGTCTCGCCGTCCTCAGATTACTGCGACCATCTATGGGTGGGCGTACCACCAGGGCTCGAGTCGCAAAACGGTGAAGGCGATGACCAGGGTGAGAGAGAGGAGCTACTCGCTCGGACTAGCGAGGAGACTCGGAAGGCGACACCCCAGACGGCGCCGCAGTCGGAGAAGGATCAAGGGTCAACTCACCGACACAAGGACCTTGTCATACTCACGAGGAGTGCTCGTCTTCAGAAGGCTTCGCCTACTATGGCAAGCTCGCCGTCAGCCGGAACCAGAAGCGCACACGCGAATGCAGGGACAGGTTGCCAAACGTCCTCGTCGAGCAGACATTTACCATCACCCGCGCCGGATTCGAGACCCGCCGGCTTCATACACCCGCCGACAGACATGACTGCTTTTATGTGGGCCGGATTGAGTGTGGCCAGCATGAATCCATGGTATTTCAGCACGTCTGACTTGCCAAGCTTGACATTTCCGAATTCCACCTCAGAAGGGGTACCAGAAGGGGGACAGTCTACTGCGGGAAAGGCGAAGGTGGATCGGTCTCTCAGCACGGCCACCGTTCGCAGCAGAAGAAGAGCTCATATCTTCGATTTGACTGCCGATAACTCCCCCTCGAGCCAAAGTACCGCCGAAGAGGAATGGCATGCAAAGGAGGCAAGCACCGCGCGAAGGAGGAAAGGCATGCCCCTGACGCCGATCGAGGTTAGAGGTAAGAGACGGGGACATCCCAAGAGTAACTCGGACGATGGGCATGCACCAGGCTCTGGAAAAGCGTCTAGAGTCCCGGGGGGTAAGGCAGGACCAGGGGCGAAGCGCACGCGACGGGGGAAGAAACCTGAAGCAGAGTGTGGATATGAGGGCGGCGTTGAGGCCGATACCGAAGACGACATTGAATCCCGGCTCGCGATGGCTCGCGAAGAAGCCAAGAGGCAGAGCCGTGAAGCCAACAAGGAGAGAGTGAAGAGAGGTCTAGTACCAGAAGATAGGGGGCGGAAGGCTAAGCGTCAGAGGTCAAGGAGGTAGGTGGGGGTTGTCCCTTCTGGCTCTGGCAAGAGAGGCAAAGGTTGGTGCTGGGAGGCCGCAAATGGTGCTGGCTGATCAGAACTTGCGAGGCACCGGAACGACGGCCAAGGGACTTGCAGGGCAATCGCGATTCCATTCCCAAGACTATGGCCCGAGCAGGTGGAGTGCTTGATATCGAGAATGGGGGGTGGCTGGATTTTAGAATCCTAGAGTAATCATCTGAACTGGAATTGGCTGCACCCTGGCATGGCATGGCGGGGCAGGTGGCAACGAGGAAAATGCTTGCCGCTCACAGAAAGGGCAAGGTTCCTTGGTTGGGACAGTCGGATCTGCCGGAATAGGGAGGTACGGATGGCTTCCCCGCATTCTGTCGACAGGTTCAGGCGTCAGTAACATCATCGAATGTACAAAAGGACCGAACTTGCAAATTTGGAAATCAGCGAGGCCGTCAGCTTCTAATCTATTAACTGCCCTTCCAGAGACGCAGCTATGGCAGCGGAAGATCTATGACTACCTAGTCTATATCGTGAACTCGTTCATTCCCTGTCTCTTTTGTTGTTGTTTAGACTCGAAACCCTCACGTTAAACCCCTGACCGCAACGACCGCAACGAAGCGAGAACAACGGAGTGGGTGCCGTGGCACAGCGAGACGACACGACGACGATGAAGACAAACGAATGACCGCCGGGTCTAAAGACCAACGACAGAATGTTTCTCCGAGTCATGGAGCCTGCAGGAGTGGACCGACCACCTTCCGTCAGCCTCCGCTCGAGGGGAAAAAAAAACATCAAACTCCAGGTATCTTATTATTCCCCTCTTGCGGGGAGATACCGCCCACTTTTTATTTCTTCATGACCATGGGCTTGGTGCCGAGTCCGTTGCGGTTTCGGAAGAACAGAATCCCCTTGCCCTTGCCAACAGCACCCTCACTCGGCTCGACCCACTGGCACATCCGAGCGCTCTTGTACATGGCGGCGATGAAGCCCAGGGGCCCGTCCTTGGTGTCGGCACGGTAGTGCTTGCCCATGATGGGCTTGATCGCCTCGCTGGCCTCGTCGGCGTGGTAGAACGGGATCGTGCTGACGTAGTGGTGCAGGACATGGGTCTCGACGATGCCGTGGAGAAGGTGGCGTCCAACGAAGCCGAACTCGCGGTCAATGGTCGCCGCGGCGCCACGCACAAAGTTCCACTCCTCTCCAGTGTAGTGCGGGAGAGATGGGTCGGTGTGTTGGAGGTAAGTGATGGCCACTGTTTTCGGTCGTTTCGTTAGCTTGGTTCACGTCCTTGCAAATGACCACCTGGGAAGCAAAAGAATGGGAGGGGATGAGGCACAGGGGAAACTTGGGGGAAAGCTTGAGAAAATTGTCGACCATCCTGCCGGGACTTACCGAGCCAGTGGTTCACCCAAAGATACGGCACGAAGTACCACACCGCCATATTGGCCCATCCGAAAGTTCGGACAAGATACACCAGTGCCGAGATGGATAGTGCTAGCCCCAGATCGCTCAAAAGCACCAGCTTCGCGTCCTTGTGCTCGTACAGCGGGCTCGAGGGGTTGAAGTGGTTGACACCTCCAAACAAGCCGTTGGACTTGCCCTTTCCGCGTCCCTCTCTCTGCCTCTCGTGGAAGTTGTGGCCCGTGACGTTGGTGAAGATATAGTTGGGCCAGCCAAAGAGCTGCTGAGCCACCAACATCATCAAAGTGTACGCAGGGGTCTCCTCGGTCAGCTCGGAGATCTCGTGGGCCAGGCGGCCGAGCCGAGAGGCTTGTTGTTCCCGAGTCCGCGGCACAAAGACCATGTCACGCTCCATGTTACCCGTCGCCTTGTGGTGCTTGCTGTGACTCATCTGCCAGCTGAAGTACGGCACCAGCAAGCTCGAGTGGATGATCCAGCCGACGAGGTTGTTGAATGTTTTCGAGGTCGAGAACGCGCCGTGGCCGCACTCGTGGCCAAGGACCCACAGACCCGTGCCAAAGAGACCCTGGAGGACGGTGTACAGACCCCAGAGAACAGCACGAACAGGAGTGGAGGGGATCCTCTCGGGCGTGACGTACGTGTTGAAAACATAGAAGGTGACGAGGAGGTAGAGCATGTCGCGGAAGACATACATGAGTCCCCGGAAGCCCGACCGCTCGAAGCAGTGCTTGGGGATGGCATCGCGGATGTCCTTGATGGTGAAATCAGGGACCTCGAACTCGTTGCCATACGTGTCGATCAATTTGCCATAGTTGGCCTTGTTGTTGCAGTCATCGACCGACGACATTGAGGAGAGCGAGGTGGACGAGGGAGAGCGTTGTGGGGAGTCGGTTGGCGAGACATCGGCGGTGGAGGGATAGGAGGCGTCCGAGTCGGTGGTCGACGTGATGGTCCTCCTCAGCATCGGGTTCTTAGTAGCCGGACGGCTGGATGTGGTCGCGGAAGCCATGTTGGGTGGGTGGGTTCGAGACGAAGACCGACGATTGACTACCTTTGATGGGCCACTTTGTCGAGAAGGTAGGTCGAGGAGAGCAGCAGGGACTAGAGGGCTGGTTCAGAGGCACAGGTCAGCTTTGTTTTGGGAATTGGGGAACCAATTGAGGTCTCCGGGGGGGGCGGGGGGGCCACGTACCGTAGGGGCGTCGACTACGGACACGATGAGGGCGGCAAACAACGAGGAGGAGGAGGAAATGTCGACGCTCTTGAAGGGAGCAATCAAACTCAGCCTCGATTTTTCTCAATAGGCTTGGACCCTGCAAATTGGGGACTCCCCTGCTCCTTTTCGTGGGTCGATTCCTGATTTGTTGGGGAATTGCGGTACTTGCGGGTCGCCGTCTACCTAACCTTTTTTCCACAGTTATGCGGTCGCACCACATGGGTCGAGGAACACTTCCTTGTGAAAATGCCTAGTTGCGCAGCAAACACAAGCTTATCAACAGCAACGAAAACACAAAGTGCCGAGAGAATAAAAGAAGAAGAAGCACGTGGTGCCCCAACCCAAGGATCAGAGATTTTCGGAGGAAAACCTCGAGCCCAGGGGGAGCTTCGCTTTGCCCGATTGCCCCCCCCCGCTGCCGAGAAGTTAGATCCAACTACCCAGGGAGCTAATTGCCTAGCAAGGTCGGGCGATTTAGGGTTGGGATGGGCACAAATGGCTTGTACCTAGATTCTCACCGCTTTCTTGACGAGTCCGGTGGCTCAATGGATTGCACATGTCGAACTGCTCTTTTCCCTCGGCATGGAACACTGGGTTCTCACTCTGGTTAGGACCAAGCGGGATGAAAACGACCCCACGCATCTGGAGCAGGCGTCTCCGACCAAATCATTCCAGTGCCCCAGTCATTGACGGGCTGTCCCGCGTTGCCCATGTTGGGATGTCTCATTCTCTTTTCTTTTCTCTGACAGTTTTTCTTTTTTTTGCCAGCGAGGCAAATCTCGCAGCCTTGCTTATCGTTATCTGATCAGACGGCCCACAAAAAAAAACCTGCGGGGTCCAACCACTCCACAAGTCCACATAATATTCAGGAACAGTATGCATTTAAGAGATACCTACATACAAGACAGGAGCTGATTATGCGCCGACAAAAGAAGTATACGAATATGGCCTTAGGATTTCCCATGTGGCGTGGTGGTAAGTATGGAATGCAACGGGATATGATCTTACGGATTTACCAGTGGGTTGATTGATGGCCACTCGCTATGCGGTCGATCCATTCAGTTTCTGTTGGGACTACCCACCCATTTTTGTTGAGGGTCCGCAGGAATCTTGGAAAATGCAGGCAGATCCACATTCTGTGCGACTTTTGGCCTGTGCAGGGAGGAAGAAGGAAAATGGAAGGAGAAAGTGGGGGGCCCTCAACCCCGGAGAGCGGAGAACGGCAGGCTACCTACTCCTTGCTGGTACGGAGGTACCGACTCTTTTCCATTTTCCATTAGCCCGTGACAGTGGAGATGGGATGGCTTGAGAGGTACCTCCACCTTCGTGTAGTTTACTGTGTCCAATCATTCCCACAACAATCGAAGATCTTCTCGCTCGCATGCATCGTTCCGAGCTGAATCGCTGATCATTGCCCCAAGTCGGCATGTCCTTTTCCTACCCCTTTGCCCTACTGCCCGACTTTCCACGAAAAATTTCAAGTACCCCACGGATTCCCCCCTCCAAGCAGGGTTCCATTGGATGTTAGAGCCTCGACGATTGGTGCCTGCCGCCGCATCTATCCGAAACCTTAATCAGACCCCAAGTTTTGGTCTTGGCAGGGAAGACCTGGGTAGGTAGGTATGCTAGCTGCGTTGCAAAGAATCCGACGAACATCGCCATTCACCACGGACACATTGTCCGCCTTGTAGAAGTCGGCACCCGATTCCATGACGGAGACTCGGGGGCCGTTACGTACGGGCTTCGGCTCGCCGAGTCCCGCCCAAGCTCCGAGCCCGGCCCTCGAGCTTCCACGCCGTCTGTTTTCTAGTCCACTTTGCATCCTTCGCCATTCTTGTGTTTGTTTGCTGCATCCCAGAGTATTCTTGTCCTCGTCAGGGGAGTTGGCCATCACAATTACTGCACTGCAATACTGAGCCCCAGTTGGCCCGACGAGAATGGAGAAATCGAACTCTCAAGTTCAGTCGATGAGGCTAAACACTATCTTTATATTTGACAAAGGGGAATACCAGGTATCTGTGTCCCTGAACTGAGACATGTAATACAACACAATCTAGAAACCAACTCGACAGTACATGGGGATCACCGTACCCTATGTTTCTCTGCATCACCCCGTACTACTGTATCGATCATTTTTTCTCCATCACTATCGCCTCCAGCTGACTCAGCCGTTCCTTGAACATCTCGTTCTCTTGCTGGATCGCCCGATATTTCTTTCTGAGCTGCTTGCATTCCTCCTTCGATTCCCTGCTGTGCCGCTGGACGATTGAGGACATGTCTTCGCTTTCGTAGTCCGTCTGTGCTCTCCTGCGCCTGGGGTCGGGCGACTCGTTCGGTTCGGAGATCGGCCGTGACGAAGGCGACGTCGGCGGGCTGTGGGGCAAGGTCGGGGCTCTCATCCTTGACGGGCCTGTTGGTGGCGACGAGAGCAAGGCGTCCGCTTGGTTTTCCCCTAGCGTCGGTGAGACACCGGAATGGCTGTTGACGGCACCCGACACGGCTTCGCGCCATGCCCTCGCCCTTGTCTTCCTCCGGGCCGAGCCCTTTTTGCTCGAAGATTTTGGCTTCTCGGCGGCTGGACTGTCCAAAAGCGTCTGACTCGACTTTGCTGGGGTTCCCTCATCTGAGTCGAAGAATCCGTGGGCTCTCTTCTGAGATGAGATCCTTTTGCCATTTGCCTTCGGCATAGGCGTTGTGATGTTCGGAGGTGTTCCTTCCATCGTCGGACAGGGACTCGAGGAAAGAGGGTCCAGCAAGTTGCTCATATCAACCTCGCGCCGTCGACGGCGGGGCCGCTTCTTCTTTGGATATAGCCCAACATCCGAACCTTCAACAGCGGCCTGCTCCGCCAGTGTAGGCTGCGATGCTTCTGCACCAGTTACTTTCACTCCAGAGCCATCTCCTGAACCATTTTCTCCATCTTTTGCCGAGGGCTGCCTCCTAGCCCTTCCCTTTCCCTTCGTTTGTTGTTCTGAGGGCCCAACATCATCCTGCCGCTTTCGCTTTCTCGAGGGAGGTGAGGATTGAGGTGACTCTTCCGCAAACTCGCGAGAATAGAACGGGGTAAGGAACATTTTAGAACTTGCTGGTGATGGTACGGCATCGACCGCCCTCATGGGTCCCGGAGTCCTAACCTGGGAGGATGCGTCTCTGCTAACTCCATGTGCATCGCCACTCGCGGTACCGATTGCAATCCCCCTCACAACGGCATTGCAAGCCAATGCCCTGCGCCGAAGCTCCATATGTCCAGAGGCCTTCTCGCCGTACCTCTGATTGAATTGGGGCGCGTCTGGGCATAACAGTACGGCCACCCGAATGTTTGCTGTCTTCAGCTCATCGGCACTCGCATCGACGCTCTGAAGAGTTTCCCAGCACATCTCAAGGGTTTTGTGAGACAGGGCTTTAATATCGTGGGGGATCGCAGACCATCGCAACGAGAGAACGGCAGATTCTTGCTGAGCTGCATGCTCTTGTTCTCGCCTGGTGAAGATATCATTCCACTCGTCGATGGCCCGGCTCAGCTCGTCAAATCCCGGTTGGAGATTCCCGGTCGCCTTCTGCTTCAGCCTCGACCTGCAAATCGCCTTGACGCCGGCCCTCAAGATGCTTCGGGTTTTGAAGTCCAGCCCATGTTTCTCACGAATCTGGTCCGCACTCATCACCCAAAACGCTGTCTCTCTGCTGGAGTCCCCCTGCGGACAGGCTAGGTAGTCGGCACCGTGACTGATCAACATTCGCAACATCGCCACCTTCTGTTGGTTGGTCATGGCTGCGTAATTTGTGATTACTTGCGGGGTCGTCATCATTCCCTCTGGCTGGGAAGCTGCGCCTGACTGGCTTTGACCATTGTACGGGTTGGCATCCGCAGCGCTCCGTACATGTTGATCATCCTCTGCCGTGGCTGGCTCTCGCTTGGGCGATTTGGCCGGTGACAGGCGGAGTTGTATTTGGCCTGGCCGATAGATCACTTCCGGGATGCCTTCCAAATTCGGGCGCCAGCCTGGTCCACCGGGTTGAGACGGTCCATGAGCACCTGGGACCGGGTTGTTGGGCATACCACTTCGCATCTCTGCACCTTCGCCCGTGGGCCCCGCTCCTCCGGCAGGTTTGTCCCCCCCATTGGTCGAACTGTCTGCCAAGCGACCGTGGTGGTTGAGACTCTGGCTCTGGCCCTGATTTTGCGCAGGATGGTGCGGATTTGTTCTATTTCCGTAGAAGGTCGGTGGTGAGATGGAGAATCCTTTATGCCCCGGTTGAGCTGGCCCCTTCCAACAGTGTCAGTCATGGTAGGTAGTTACCTACGCGACAGGGCAGCGACCCACCTTTGGCTTCGAGTGATGCGTTGGAGATGAATGTGGGATTTTGGCATTGATGGGCCTGAACTGGGTGGTGGGACGGGAACTACCTGACCGGTGCGGCGTCTCTGATGGCTCAGCCTGGCCAGAGGCTGTGCTGCTGCTAGCACCCTTGATTTTGTGCTTTGCCATGATTTTGGCGGAGACGGAGAATGGAGACGGTGTCCCGGTCACTACTCCGTCCTCCGGCTGAGAGACTCTCGGGGAGAGACGAGGACTCCCACACGGGGAGGCTCTTCCGAGCTATTTAAATCAACTAGCTCCTCTTCAGCCCAGTGGCCCGGCAACCGACCCTTGTTCAGCCCATGCTGCCCCGGCGGTCTGACCCCCGGTACACTAGTGTAGGTAGGTGCCGGTATGCACAAGTCGTAAGCTATGGGAAGCGGATGGCCCTCCCCGGGAACAAGCAGCGTGGGTGGGGGCCGGGAGAGGCACGTCTGTTCAACTTCTTTTCGCATCCGCCACACCGTTAGAAGGACATCTGAGAGGAAATGGGAGCGTCGTCTGCTGGCAACTCTGCTCCTTCGAACCCCTCGGATGTGAATTATATAATGTTGCGGTCTCCTCGACCTGTCGGATTGAGGTACACCAGAAGGTGGAAGGGCATGGGGGTGAAATTAGCCCTATTCGATGATCCCTAGATGCCCGGGCCATGGTGCAGGGAAGGAAGAGGCGTTGTCATCGTTGATGACTCACATCTAGCTGTCATGATTTCTTCCACCGTGGATGACTTGTCTACACATATGATCCCCAGTGCGGTGTGATAGATGATAGATGATAGACCTCGTTCTCGGGGTAAATTTCCCATTCGATTGCTTGTTTCTTTCTTTCTTGAGTGCTCAGTGGCAAAGGGACCAGGCTCCGAGTTGAATTGGGCACGATTTTGCAACGAGTTGCACTACTGTGAGGGGAGCTTGCCAGACCCAGCAAGTTAGTTACCACCCCTGCTGAGGTGGAAATTGCGCGTAAAATACTGAACTGGGTTGAGTCAGGGGCAATTGCCCTTGGGGCCACAGCAGCCAGCCAGCTTTCTCGACGACGGGATTGTTGTCAGGAAGTGGAGGATTCCAAATCTCAACAAGTCCCCTGAATCTTCAGATCCGGCACTCTTGTTCCATTGGGATTAGGTATTTTGTTGACATGCGGAGTGGGCCCCCCTTATTGCCGGGGCAACGGCTGCAATGGCGTCTCGTATTATCCGAGGAACTTGGGTCCTGGCGACGAGCAAGTGGAATATGTGGGGGCGGGGACAGAAGTATTACGCACAGATAGGCGGTGTTGATGTAAAGCCCTCGAATAGCATCTTATCTTGAGTGGCGGAAAGCAAACTTGAATGCGAGTACAAATGACCATCCATCCCTTCCCGTCCAACCAGTGGTCTTTGGTACCTTGCCTTTTAAGATACGCAGACCGGAGTGATAGCCTTTAGAAGCAGGTTCGAGGTGGCTATCTGACAATCTCCTCCGACTCCTCCAGCACCTCCTCCACGATCTCCTCGATGACCTTTTCCTCGCCATCCGGCGCCAACTCGGCCGTTTTCGCCTTGAGCAATTCTGCCACGGGATCATCCGGGAGACCCATCGCAGCACGTTCCTCGGCAATTTCCTCCTCGACCGACGCACGCCAGGCGTGCCATTCCTCGAGAAGGCGGCGGCGGTGCTCGACAACGGCGACATCGGCGCTACTGATGCGCTCCGTATCTTCTTGCTCGAACACGCGAGAGTACTCCCGGAGGTTCTTACGGATCGTCTTCTGCTCGTCCTTGGTGAGCAGTGTCGGGGGGCGCGGTCGCCATTGCCATTGCTTGAACTTTTCCAACGGTTCCTCCCTTAGCTGCTCGCCCTTGAAGTCGTAAAGATGATAGCCGTTTTCCATCTGCGGGGTGCACTGATGTTAGAAACAAGCAACGGAGAAAAAGCGGGGTTCTGCTCAAGGTTTGGGAATACTCACCGCATGCTTCCACGAAGAGGCCCAGGTGGCGACGAAGCGGCCAGAAGGATCCCACTCGACGTCGGTGACACCGTAGTGCTCGGCCGTGTTCATCAGCTGCAGGTTGGCCGTGAGGTCCTTGTCGGACTCGGGCTTCTCACCCTCAAAGTCCAAGTCGAAGAAGTCGAGATCCGAACTCTGCTGGTTGTGGATGGTGGCGACGACAACAAAGCGGCCGCGGGGCGACCAGTAGATGGCGTTGCTGTTCTTCTTGTCCAGGGTGCGCAAATGCTTGAAGTTGCCAACAGCCGAGCCCTTGGCCTTCTCGGGGCAGAAGAAGGCAACCGACGTCTTCGGCGGGACAGCTGTGACGCCCACCGGCTCGGTGGTCGTAATGATGACGAACCGGTCTCCCTTGGGCTCCCAGGCGAAGTTGATGACCGTGTCCTTGATGGTGTCGACAACCTCGACGGGGACGCCCTTCTCCTTGATCCGGAAGATCTCCAGCGTGGTTGCCTGCGACTTCTTGGACTTGGAATGCCGGTCCACCTTGACACAGAGGTAGGCGGCCTCGGACTGCCAGTGGAGTTTGGCATCGCTGACGCTGAACAAGTTGAGGGTCCGGACAATCTCCTTGGAAGGAATGCTCATCAAGCCAACCTTGGCCGGATTGCTGCCGATCTCGGGGGTCCAGAAACACAACAGCTGCTCGTAGGTCTTGATGCCGTCGCGGTGCGGCGTTGCCGGTGCCCACTCGAAATCCATGACGCCCTCGATCTTGATGCTCGTCTTGTCCAGGAGACCCATGTGCGGGAGCTCGTAGACCGAGATTGAGGAGCCCTGGGTCAGCCTGGCGACGTACTTGTCGTCGGCAGACCACTTGAAGGCGGGCCAAGGGAACTTTGGCGGCGGTTTCCGGTTACCATGTTCATCCACTGCACCGGGCACGTCGAGCTGTGCAAAAGACCGGAGCGGCTTGGAGGTCTGAATATCCCAGATAACATAGTTCTTGCCGTCATCGTCCACAGACAGGGAAGGGTGACCCTCGTCTGGGATGGAGATGGGCCGATTTGACCACGTCACCAGGTAATTCTCGTTGGGGGAGAAGGCGACAAGGTTGACGAAAGGGTGTGCGAATCTCCTCTGCCTAGTCCACGACGGGCCGCCCCAGAGCTGGACACCTTGGGCGTGCACCGAGGTAAGGTATGTGCCGAGAGGCGACCACTGCACAAACGTCTCCGTCCAGTGCTGTCGGTCCACAATGGTCTCGGGAGGCTCCTTCTCATTGTTCCAACAAATGGAAACAGATTCCCCTCTGTACATGACAAACTGGTCCCTTCCCCGGCCGCTGGGATCTGCCAAGAACGACCGCAAGTGCTCCTTCTCGGCGAACTCCTCGATCTTGGGTGGGGTGTACTCGTCGTCAATTCTGCCTTCCCGGCCGTACCGTTCAACGTCGGTTAACTTGTTGACGCGAAGAATGTGTTTCTTGTCGAGGGGAACCATGTCGAGCTGCCGCACGGCGGCCGCAGCCTCTCCCGGAGAAGAGTACTCGACGAAGGCGAACCTAGTAGAACAGCGTTAGCCACCCAGTTTTCCAAAACACGCGCTGGGGACTCTCCCTCTTGGGGGACGCCTACTAACCTGAGCGACTTGCCATCTTCTCCCATGGGCATGAAGACCAGATCCTCCCTTGTCTTGCCGACCTGGTTGAGCTTTTTCAACAGGAACTTGACCAACTTCGGCTTCTGTTCCTCGTTAACCTCGGGTAGGCCGTCGATGACCACGAAGGTGTCGTAGCCCTGTTCCAACTGGACTTCATATTTTTCGCGGAGGTCCGAGAGGTCGATCTCGTCCTCATCGAACTCGTCCTCGTCGAGGTCCTCATCATGGAGGTGGTCGAATGATGGCGCCATCTTGGGGCACGGCTGGTAACCTGAGTAGTCGATGACTTCCTCCGACTTTTGGTAGTAATTAGCTGCTGCTCAAGAATCGCAATGCTCGCAGGACTGTAGAGTTCTGTGGGCGGTGGCTTGAGATGTGGGGCTCTGATGTCGATGCCCCGCGCGGCGCAAAAAAAAAAAAAAATTCTGCGATCGGGCGGTGGGAGGTATTGATCCAATTATTGCCTTGGTGGAACTCGGGCCTAAAACGAAGTATGGTTGAAATAACCTACAAGTCCTTCTCGCAGCGGGTTCGTGGTTAAAAATGTCAGGTTGTGCCACAGCTGCGTGCCAGAGGTTGGAATTTGCAAAGCTTCCAGGGCTGGATTCTCGATCAGCCCGATCCCGTCCGTTGTGTGGGACGGCACCTCTGTTTTCCCGTTCCGCTCCCAGGGCGCGGCGTCTATCAGGTCCATGTGGCGCAGCTGTCCAGTCAAAAGGCGACATGGTGGCATCCGGACGTCAGTGACCGCATTAGATGGAAGAAAGGTAGATTTAGTTAAGGCCAAAACATCAGCACTGTCGGACCGGTAGCTCAGTGGTAGAGGTTAGTAATAACAGAAACCCGCGAAGGTCAAGTCCTCCGAAACTAACCGTCTCGACTCAGCGAGAGATTGCAGCTAGATGTGCCAAAATCTCTAGGTCGCGTTTTCGATCAACGCCCAGTCCTCTTTTTTCTTCCTTTTTTGTATTTTTCTTGGTTTTTATTATTTCTATGGTCCCGCCACCTGTTCTCCCTTCCACCACTATGTTCCTTTCTTTTTTTCTCTCTCTGAAAAATCACAAGATTCCAGGTTGTGTTTCTGTGGGACTAGGTACCAGCTTGGGTGCCATTAAAAAGGCGGTCTGGAGGGGCAGCAAAATACCTACCTAAGCTCCCGGTCTCTCTCTACCTTACCTAATAGGAGAGGTACGTAATTAGTTGGTACTTTGTGCTATCTTTGTCAGCAGATAAATCGTGCAGCTTCGGTTTGTGTTTTTTCCCAAAGGCAAGCAAGCGCGACAGCTCCCCCACGAACAGCAACGCCTTGACCTTCAAACTTGGTGATCTCGAACCTGCGGTAATCATGGTGAGTACAGCACCTAGCTGCATCCTATCGTATGGCTCTACTGACAACCCCCCGCTTTGCAGTCGTCCTTCAGTCCAACCCAGATCTTCGAGGAAGGCACAACACAGGAAAAGGGCGAAAATGCCCGGCTGACCGCGTTCGTCGGTGCCATCGCCGTTGGGGATTTGGTCAAGAGCACTCTGGGACCGAAGGGAATGGATAAGATTCTGCAATCTGCGTTCGTCTCCGCTCTCCGCTCTCCGCTCTCCGCTCTCCCCCCTCCCGTTCTCCGGCTTAAACTGACGGCGACTTGATGCCTCCAGGTCAACCGGCGAGATAATGGTAACCAACGATGGTGCAACGATCCTCAAGTCTATCGCCTTGGACAATGCTGCGGCGAAAGTCCTTGTGAACATTTCCAAGGTTCAAGACGACGAAGTTGGGGATGGCACAACATCGGTGGCTGTCCTTGCGGCGGAGCTTCTCCGCGAGGCGGAGAAACTGGTCGACAAGAAGATACACCCTCAGACCATCATTGAAGGGTACCGGATAGCGAGCAAGGCTGCCCTGAGCGCGTTGGAGCAGTCTGCCGTGGATCGCAGCAATGACCCCGAAGCTTTCAAGAAGGACCTCCTCGCCATTGCGAGAACGACGCTCAGCTCCAAGGTGTTGGCCCAGGACCGCGCCCACTTCGCAAAGCTGGCATGTGAGGCAGTGCTGCGGCTAAAGGGATCGTCCGACCTCAGCCACATCCAGATCATCAAGAAGGCCGGAGGCAGGCTCAACGAGTCCTACCTGGACGAGGGATTCATTCTGGACAAGAAGATCGGTGTCAACCAGCCCAAGCGCCTCGAGAAGGCCAGGATCCTTTTGGCCAACACCTCCATGGACACGGACAAGGTGAAGATCTTTGGTGCTCGAGTCAAGGTTAGCTCCACGAGCAAGCTGGCCGAGCTCGAGAAGGCAGAGAAGGAGAAGATGAAGGCCAAGGTGGACAAGATCAAGGCGCATGGCATCAACTGCTTCATCAACCGACAGTTGATATACAACTGGCCCGAACAGCTGTTCACCGACGCCGGCATCATGTCCATCGAGCACGCCGACTTCGACGGCATTGAGCGCCTGGCGCTTGTCACCGGAGGCGAGATTGCGTCGACATTCGACCATCCAGACCAAGTAAAGCTTGGCCACTGCGATGTGATCGAGGAGGTGATCATCGGCGAGGATACCTTGATCCGCTTTTCCGGAGTTGCGGCGGGCAAGGCCTGCACAATCGTGCTTCGAGGAGCGACCGAGCAGCTGCTGGACGAGGCAGAGCGCAGCCTGCACGACGCGCTCGCCGTCCTGTCGCAGACGGTCATAGAACCCCGGACCACCCTCGGCGGCGGTTGCGCCGAGATGGTCATGGCCAAGGCCGTGGAGGGTGCGGCAACTCGGGTCGAGGGTAAACGGCAGATGGCCGTTGCTTCCTTTGCCGTCGCGTTGCGTCAACTCCCCACGATTTTGGCCGACAACGCGGGTCTTGACTCGGGCGAGCTGGTAGCACGTCTCCGCAAGGCCATTTACGACGGCATGACTACGTACGGGCTGGATTTGATGACTCCGGACGGAGGCATTGCCGACATGCGCGACCTTGGTGTGGTTGAGAGCTACAAGCTCAAGAAGGCCGTTGTCTCATCGGCCAGTGAGGCTGCAGAAGTAAGTCGACATCCTCCCCTGACACCGCTTACGTGGGCCGGCGCTGACCAGAGAAGCTGCTGCTTCGCGTCGATGATATAATAAGAGCGGCACCGAGAAGGCGTGAGAGGCATTGAGGCAATGGGAAGTGCAAACAGTGGATGTGAAAGGCAGACAGACCCGGAGAGCTGTACACTAGGTACCATAGACTGCCACGGGTTTCGACGGCAACGAAGCCGCACAATCGATAGCCCGACCTAAACGAAGCCCTGATGGAGCGCCCTAGTCTGGCCGTGGAATGAACGCCTGGTGCACATACGTGGAGAGCAGCGCTGGCTGCCGTCACGTGGGACGTCGGCTTGGTTCCTTCGGCCACAAATCCATGTCTCTCTCTAGGTACCTAGATGACCCATGTCGGTCCATCGTCGTCTCCGAACATTGCTTCCTCACACCCTTGGCTTACCATCGTGTGCAACTGGCTCTTCTATTTTCGGTCATTCGCAAAGTGCTTGAGATCTCGCCCTTCCTTGGATAAGTAGGTACAATACCTAGGTACGTACCTACAGTGGGTGGGTGTACCTAAGGCTGGGTATTACGTAAGCTGAGGCATTGATTGGCACCACTGGATTGGGCACCACTGGAAGGAGAGGAGCCTTGGCATGTACCTAGGTAGCCACAACCCATGTCGCGCCATCCTGACCACTCTAGTCGCAAACCGCGCTGCAGCCTCATGGAAGGGGGGCTTACGTTTTCGCCGAGCTGACAGAACGCGCTCCCGCGACCTAACGTCCGAATATGCGGCGGGATACCTTCTAGCTTGGATAAAACTGAGCACTCGAACTGGGTGCTTTCCCCTGTTCTTGCGAAACTGGGATCCATCCTGTCCGTCGTCGCAATGCGTCCTCGCCAACGCCTGGACATATTGATACTGTGGTGGGTACTTCATCATGTTGCTCTCTGCTGGGCACAGCTAACTCCACGCTCCTGAAAAGCGTCTTCCTTTGTAGTACCGTCGCAATACATGCACGCTACCACATTAGCGCAGCGTTTGGTTTGTTCTATCCCCTTTTATTTGTTGCCTGAACTTGCTAACACGAACTACAACCTCACAGAAAGACCAATACACTTCGGATTCCTGAGTCTGCTCATCAACGGTGTCGCCTTGCTTGCGTATGCTCGATACAATGGTCACGGCCAGGCTTCCTATGTCCCTCTCGCCTCGGAGCCTCTACGAACCTACTCTCCCCGACTCGACCGGATCCTCAACCGCGTGCCAAAGCTACTTTTGCGACTCCTCCGGCACTCCACCCCCCTAGCGATCCTCGTTATTGGCATAGTCACTCGCGTCCTCATAACATGGCGTGTGATTCGCACCATACAATGCTCGTGGGACGGCGTTTCGGCTCTTTTACCACTCGTCGTGGTTGTTGTGGGCGACATAATTGACCGAGGGGCACAAGATATCCGGCGTGGCAGATTTGATCATGTTTCTGACCCGGCCAAGCTCGGCCGGTCGTTACCTTCCCTTCTCCGATACATATCCTTCGCCGTCGCCTGGGCGTGGGCGGCAACAGCGACGTTCGAGATGGCTTCCCTGCCAACTGGGGCCATCTGCCCTTCCGGTTGGAGATGGGGGCGTCTTGTTCCCGCTGCCCAACTTGTCATTGTGGTTCTGGACGCCTTTATCCTGCACCGAATTGCCCACATCAAGCAAGACCAAGACACCAGGGATACCGCCACACGCTCGATCGCTGCGGTATCCCTCGCGTCGGCGGCCTCATTGATGGCTTTGTCCACCTTCTCGTTGCATGACCCGGCGAACCTCGACTGGGCCTTTAGGCTAGACCCAGTCGCCATCCGAGATTTGCTCATGGATTCCATTCTTGCCTCGACAGCGTTCCTCTCAGGGATCCACATGCTATCAGTCCTAGACACCTGGACCGTTGCTGTGACGGTCAGCGGGATCCTTCTTCATGTCCGACTTTGGACAAGGGTCCTCAATGTCCCTCTAGAAACAGAGCACGACGATATAATGATGTACGTGCTGGGCCCATTGATATGCATTGTGCTTTTGATCAAATTCGACAAGGACGCCCGACCGTTGCAGCGTGCTGGAGCGACCGTCATGCAGAAGATCCTACTTGCCTTCGCGATCTTGGCCGGCCTTCTGCTCGTCGCCGCCCACGTCGTCGTCAAATCACCATCAGGCCCGGCTTCTCACCAGGGTCACGTCGTTGAGGGACTGGTATCGTCGGCTCGTGACGCATTCAAAGCATGGGAATCCCAGGCCGGCAACAGCACCACCCTGGAAGAGGCTGTCGGCCAATACAGCCGCCGGCATGGAATACCCCCACCCCCGAATTTCGACAAGTGGTTCGAGTTCGCCACGTCTTACAACTCCACCATCATAGATGACTTCGACCAGGTAAATCTGGACTTGAAACCCTTTTGGGGGCTCCCGCCGTCCACCATTCGAGAACGTACATCACACCTCCTTGAACACCCCCGGCTGAATATGGGGGGGTTCCGTATTCGGGGTGGCGAGGTTCAGCTCTCGCCGCATACTCCCGGCACCCATGCGTGGATGATGAACGCGAACGCCGACATGATCAGGCCGTTTGCGCGGTGGCTCCCAGACATGGATCTCGCCTTCAATCTCAACGACGAGTGTCGTGTAGCTGTGCCGTTTGAAGAAATGAGTCGCCTCCATTCGGAAGGAGAGGCAGCCAGAGAGAGACTACGTCGATTGCAGCCTGAACATCTCTCTGGCTGGACCCCGTCGGATCAACCGTCGTCGCCGGCATGGTCGGATCGATTTATGGACAAGGGAGACCAGTCTGTCGACCCTGGGCAACGCTCTCCTTATTTCTCGGACCATATACGACGTCAGATCTTCTATAGCCACGTATCTCCGGCCTGCCCCCCAGTGTCGCCGGCCCGGCACCACCGCTGGTGGGATAGGAAGACATCATGCATCTCATGCGCAGAGCCTCACATGACAGCCGGCTTGGGTGGCAGCTATGTATCGAACTGGACCCTGGCTGGAGATCTCTGTCACCAAGTTGACCTAGCTTATCTTGATGGTTTTCTGTCATCTCCAGCCCCGATGGTCTCGACAACGACGCTATTCCCCGTTTTTAGCCAGGGTCGTGTCGGCGGCTTCGCTGACATCCTGGTGCCTTCGCCTTGGAACTTTGTTCAGAAATCCACATACGACGACAGCCTCGCCATACCCTGGTCGGAGAAACGGAACGGTCTCTTTTGGCGAGGTGGCGCTTCGGATGGCTTCGCCGCAGATGGAGCTTGGCAGGGCTTCCTTCGTGCGCGATTTGTCCATTCCGCACTTGAATTCAACAGGAATCGGCCGAGGCGCTCCGCGTCGAAATCCGCGCTTGACGTGACGGATGTCGAGGTCAACGTGACGTTTGTTGGCAAATTCACGAAGTGCGACGAAGGCGACTGTGCCTCGGAACGGGAGACATTATACAGAGGCGGCGTCACCGAAGGTCTTGACCCGGGCCAGAGTGGGCCTCCGGCCTCGGTCCCTTTCTCTGAAAACTGGAGGTACCGGCACTTGATCGACCTAGATGGCGCCGGCTTCAGCGGCCGTTTCATACCCTTCCTACAGAGCTACAGCCTAGTATATCGTGCCGGGCTCTTCCGCACCTGGTTCGACCATCGAGTCCATGCCTGGCAGCACTACATCCCCTTGGATGTCCGACTTGGCAACGGCCTGTGGAGGGCACTGGATTTCTTTAGCGGCAACAAAGGTGGCGAGCTTGGGGAGCAGATCGCGCTCGATGGCCGGGAGTGGGCGAATAAGGTGCTGCGACCCGAAGACATGCAGGTATATATGTTCCGCTTGCTGCTGGAATGGGGTCGTCTCGTCGATGATCGGAGAGAGCAACTGGGTCATGTATAGATTCAAAGCAAACGTCTCGCAGAAGGGGGGCGGCTATAGCTCAACAACTAACCAATATCCAAGCAGTTCAAATCCCACTGATGATGACAAGTGCGACTACTTCCCCTTCAGCCTTTTCTCCTAGCTGATCTCGTGACACGCCTGCTTCCAGGCTGAGAGGGCCATTTCCACATCGTTTCTACGACCAACACCGCGAGTCTGGCTCTTCTGCCATTTTGGCACCCGCAACGAGGTTCGTCTTGAGCTTCATCAGTTTGCCGAACAGCTTCGCAGGGACAGTCCTCGGGCTCCATGCCCTCCTTTAATATTTCAGCTCTTCCTCGTCCCGCGAGCGAAATCGAGGCACGCAGCAGGGGATCTGTAGGAAGCGATATTACTGACCCCGCCTACCTCAAACCTTTGGGGTGGACATCCACAGCTTGCAAATACTATCCAGACGCAGCTCGACACTAGGTCGACCGGCTGTCGGCCAGGCGTACATGAGAAGAATGCTATTTGCCAAGTACAGGGGCTGCACCGCTCTCGGGCCCAATCCCGCGGGAATCATAAGTCGTGCATACAGACGGTACTTCTAATTGGCAGCGGAGCGAGGACAGTGGTTGCGTCTTGGAATGTCCCAAGGACACGCTAGGTAGAAGAGAGCCACCCTGTCCAAAGAGGTTCTTTATTCAGGCGAGAAACGCCCTTCGTCCCCCGTTGGCCATAGAGGTTCTCAACCATTCGCAACTATGATATAAGCGCCCTCCACCCCCAAACGCTCATAGATAGTAAATGCAACAATGGATTCCATTCGAGGTTTCTGCCAAAATGGATGGCCAAGATCAGCCCTCAAGAACACCTTGCGACTGCCAGCCGCACGAGTCCGATGTCTACGACGTGGTCATCGTCGGCGCCGGGCCTTGCGGCCTCGCTGTCGCCGCGCGGCTGCACGAGAGTACCCCGGCCGCCATCTTCACTGACGAGGAACACAGGCGGTTCCACTGGATACAGCGACACGGCCGGAAGATGACGCTCAAGAACTGCAAGAACGGCCGAGTGTCGCTCGCCGCGACACGGTACCAGAGACCTGAGTACAAGATGGCGGTCCTCGATGCCAACCACAACGAGTGGATGGGCCGCTGGAACCGCCTGTTCACGGCCTACCAGATCCCCCACCTGCGCAGCCATATGTTGTGGCATGTCGACCCGCACGACCGTGACAGCTTGCTGGCCCAGGCAGTTCGGCAGGGTCGCGAGGCCGAGTTGACCGAGTTGAAGGGCTGTGTAGGCAAGGAGATTAGCAAGCACGCAAAGAAGAAGAAGGCCCGCTACATTGGCTCCAAGTAAGTGCTTGCTGTTATTGCATTGGATTTGAAATGCCGTTGGTAATTATGGGACTAACCGGCAATTGAAGACAGGAAGCCCATGTCGACATCAACGAGCGTGACCGCAAAGACTACTTCAATCCCTCCCAAGCACTCTTTTGTGATCACTCCAACGACGTGGTCGACAGATACAACCTCCGGGACGGACTGATCTTTAAGGAGTGTCTGCGTGACATCGATTACGGCGTTGTCAATGGCATCTCAGAGGAAGGGGATAGTCTCTTCACCGTCACAACAGACAAGGGCCGCCTCCACGCCCGAGCCGTTGTCCTTGCCGTCGGCCCGGCAAACGATGCCCAGATCCCCCACGTGCCGGGCATGACAAGAGTCTCTACCAAAACGACCGACGGACAACAGCGGTGCGCATTTCCGCAGGCGTGCCACAGCATGCACATCAGCACCTTCCCCGACGCTGTCGTCAGGGAGCGCATGGCGGCAGGCCAACAGACCAACATACTGGTCGTCGGCGGCGGCCTCACCTCGGCGCAGCTCGCCGACCTCGCCATCCGGCGCGGCGTCTCGCGAGTGTGGCACATCATGCGGGGGCCACTGCGCGTGAAGCACTTCGACGTCGACCTCGCGTGGATGGGCAAGTTCCGCAACACGGAGCAGGCGCGGTTCTGGCTGGCCGACTCGGACGAGGAGCGGCTGGCCATGTTGAGAGAGGCCCGCGGGGGCGGGAGCATCACGCCGCTGTTCTACAAGCGGGTCAAGCAGCACGTCGCTTCGGGCCGGCTGGTGCTCCGCGAGAAGACGGTGTTGGCGGAGGCGAGGTTTGACGCCAAGGCAAGGCAGGGCTCCAAGGGAGGGGGCGCGTGGGTGGTAAAGGCGGAGCCGCCACTTGAGGGGCTGCCGGCTATGGACTATATCTACTTCGCCACGGGGATCCAGACCGACTTCAAGGCCCTGGGATATCTTCAGACGATGATGGAGCGTCACCCCATTGAGGGATTTGGTGGGTTCCCTTGCCTAAATGACGATCTGATGTGGAACGATGGGGTGCCTCTGTTCTTCGCTGGCAGGCTAGCGGCCCTGCGGCTTGGGCCTGCTGCACCGAATCTTGGCGGCGCTCGCCTCGGGGCGGAGCGAATTGCTTGGGCTCTTGAGAATACCATTGCCAAGTCAAGAGGAGTAGACGAAAATCTGAGCTTACACGGCGAGGATGGGGATAAAGTGATTGGGTATTGTGCTGGGAGAGGCAGTAAATATAGCAGTCTATCAGAGGAATGATAAAGAGCGCCTCGATCTCGAAACAAGTACTTCTTCCGCAATGCCCGCCTCGTCGGCGCAAGGGTTTTTGCAAGAGTCTACCATGTGAGCAGTTTCTCATGGCTCCAACCCTCCTCCCCCTGGCGGCCCGCCCTCATCCGGACCGACCTGTTCTCCAGGTCGATCTCGGCCCGCATCCTCCGCACGCGCGCCCACCCGGGTACATCCCGGTATCCACGCACGTCGCCCAGCCCCTCCTCCTCGATGGCGACGATCTCGCGCGCCAGCCGCGCCGCCCCGACGCTGTCCCACACGGCCTCCCGGCGGCGCGGCGACGCCTCCAGCAGCGCGACAGCGCGGCGGCGCGTCTGCGGGTGGCGGCACTTGACGGCGACGAAGTAGAGCAGGGGCACGACGCCGATGTCGACGGAGAAGCAAGACGACGTGTAGCTCGCCGCCGAGGAGGAGGAGGAGTGGAGGAGGAGACGCTCTGCGCCGGCGACGATGAGGTCGAACTCGGCGTGGAATCGGTCGTGGGCCGTCTCGGTCTGCGAGTGCCGGTTTGCGAAGAGCATGTGGCCGCCGATGTGCCATAGCTTGAGTACCTCGACACCGGGGTTGTCCGAGGGATTGTCTGCTGTCGGGTTGCGGGCGAGGTACTCGGTGAAGTTTATCGACCACTGGGCGAGGAGTCTGCCGAGGTTTCTATCCTCTTGGTTCTCGAGTGTGGCAGCAGCGTTGCTGTGTGAGAGGATCTCGGGGAGAAGGTACGCCAGTAGCGAATAAAGCATGTCGCGCGCTTCTTTCAGGGTCGAGAAAGGCTCCATCTCGTTCCGCGTTTGCGTCGCTAGGCGCAACGGCACCGCCGGAAATGACGGCATTGTTCTCGCTTGCAGCACCATGGTTGTATACACGGGCTCGAGTTTCGTCCTGATCATGTGCCCGCCGGGAGACCAGAATGAGGTGCAGTTGGGCAGGGAGGCTCCGTTGGTATGCCATTGGGAGAGGATAGATAGGCTGCTCCGAAGATGTGTGTGAGCCGCCGAATAGGCCCCGCGCAACCATTCGAAGATGATGCAGAGCACGGAGCTTGCTAACGTGACGTCCAGGGCGGCCCATCCACGGTTGAAAATGTGGTCATTCAAGAGCCTTACCCCTTTGGTATATTCACTGATGGACTGGTTTCGCAGACTATCGGCCTCAGAGTTCCCGGGGGTGTCATCGCCGGTCTGGAAGCTTTCGTGGAGGGTCCCCAGAGCCACGATCAGCTGTCGCACGCATGATTCTCTGTGGCCGATTTGGAGAACCAGGCAGCTCCAGAAGTCGTTGTCAAAGTAGCCTGAGAATTCGCGCGATGCGCGGTGCTGGAAGTAGTGCAACGATCGGTGTCCTCTTTGGTCCAAGACGAGGGCGGGATCGCTTAGCATTTTGCGCGGAGCAAGAAGGGTTAAGGATGAATCTGATGTCATAATATGTGGTTCAACCCGGCCTGCTCGGGAAACTGCCCTTGTCCCGGAGGGGTACCCGTCGCATGAGCGACCTGTGCTGGAGCATCGCTGACAAAGAGGGCGCATCAAGTCACATTTAACACGCCTGATTCTGTTGGGTCGACGATTAGATTCCGATTTGGGCTATTACCCGACCTCCAGCGGGTATAGTTCTGAATGTTCTGGATCGGAGATCACTTACCGACACACGCCACAGCCGAGGCTGGAGCGAGTGTGTTTGGCTCTGATACGCTTCCCCGTTTGTGAAGGGGTGTCTTTGGCCGAGTCCCCCATGTTCTTGGTTGGCAGGCCAATTATATGACGGACGTGATTGGTTGGGCGACAGGAGGATTACCACAGTAATTTTACCACTGGCGGTGGACCCTGGCAAGCAGCAAATAATACGCGGCAAGAGCAACTGAAAGCGAACCAATAGTTAGAGCGAGTAGAGATGCAGTCCGGTCATGCAACTGGGATAAAAACTTCAAAACGATTTGAGATGCGAAAGTTGCTGGGCAGGTAATTGCCCGATTACCTAGTCCAGAATCTCAGAGATATACGGTAGCGTAGATTCAGGGGGTGGAGAGCCGGGCCCTGATTGGCCGGCTCGTCTACGGACCAATCGCAGATTGGAGACCTTACCCCTGTGCGCCAATTGCGCCCAGTCCGTCCCGATTGGCCAGCTCGTCTAAGATAGCCAAGCATCACCGGCACTGCCGTGTATAAGAACACCATCTACGGGCACTTGGTTCATGTGTTTTGTATCTCCTCTGTTCTTTATTGGTGGTCGGCCTCAAGTCCCATCCTTCGAAGCTACACACGCAGCTATCTCCCGATGGATACACCTAACCTCGGAGGAAATGCCTTCTACCTGGCCTGCTATGCGGTCCTCCTCCCGCCTCAAATATTCCTTGGGATTCGGTACAAGACTTGGGGCTTCTCTTTCGGAGTGCTCTGTGGTCTCGTCCTGGAAATAGTTGGGTACGCTGCTCGCATTCAGCTGCACTATCACAAGGACACATTTGTCATGTAAGTTGATATTTTACGTGGCAAGTAAATTACTCGACAGGGAACCCAGCGCTTACATCCGGGGGTTCACAGGTATCTAGTTTGTCTTACCATCGGGCCGGCCTTTTTCAGCGCCGCTATCTACCTATGCCTAGCCCGCGTCATCGAGGTCTACGGAAACCACCTCTCGCGCTTTCGTCCACGAACATACACCATCACCTTCATGGTCTCCGACTTTATCGCCCTTGTTTTTCAAGCGTCCGGGGGGGCAATACTTGGGCGCCGGGATCCGGCCATGATGGACATGGGCCTGGCCATTATCCAGACCGGACTGGCGGCGCACCTGGTTGGCATTGCCGCATTTGTAATATTGGCTGTGGAATTCGGAATTAGAACATACAAGGGCCGCGGGCAGTGGAACCCAAAGTTCGATTCTTTGCAGAAGGCCCGGAAGTTTCACTGTCTCCTCATAAGTATGTCACCGTAGGCCTGAATCTCTGTTGGTCGACTTTAGCTAACTTGGACAAGGCCTCGCTGGATCAACATTGTGTATATTTGTCCGGACCGCTTTTCGAGTTGCGGAGCTTCGTCAAGGATTAAACAGCAAGCTTGCCAATAACGAGGTGGCGTTTATGCTGCTTGAAGGAGCCATGGTTGTCATTGCTGCCACCTGCATTACAGCTTCCCACCCGGGCGTTGCGTTTCAGGGCAGATGGGGGGAGGCAGATTTCCAGCTTCGTTCGAGAAGGGAAAAGAATGGTTTCCAAGAAGCAACCTCAAGCCCTGTACCACTGGGACCAATATAGACACTGCAGGCTACACCGACGAACTGACGACGTTTGCACAAAACTATCGATCGACCTCCTTGGTAGACTATCTGGGTAGGACTGTACCAAAGTGCTGATCCCCCTTCGCCTCAAAATAATGACCATCGACGATTTTCTGCGTGCCTGTCCCGAAATTGTTGTATTGGCGATTCCCGTCGCAGTGCTGATGGGCAGTACCGGCCTGCCTGTTGCAATCAGGGTCGCTCGGAAGCTGTGGACTCGCATGGTGTGTCTCGGCTGTGCCCATGTCTCTAATCCACCGACGTAGCTCCCCACAAACAGCCACGAACCTAGGATCGTCCGTACTGGCAAACTTGGTCATATCCATATGGTTGCTACGGATTCCGATCGGAATGTACCCGGGTAGAATCGCCGAATCTTGTGGTACGACCTATTGTCGACGCGTCAGTATTTGGGGCCTTGCCTGGGCCTTGCCTGGGCCTTGCCTGGCCTAGCCCCAACTTACTAAACCAACTCCCAGCAAGTGCAGTTCCTCATAGAAGCAACTAATCTCGATCGGTGGCAGTCCTTCCCTGCTGCGTGCCATGACAATCGTGTGAAAGCTGTCCTGAATCCGCGCAAACACCTCGGGAATCGCGTCTCAGGACCTCCACGACCTCGGAATTCGTCTGCTTCACGAGGCCGATGGATCGGGACAGGAGCTCGGCCCACCTAGCGAGGCCCGCTCCATGGTGCGGCGTGCCGAGAAATATTATACCGCGAGTTGAACGAAGGATATTCTGGAGATGTCGCTCCGGTCGCTGTCTTGACGTCATCAAGCAACGCTCTCAAAGCCTGCCGCGTAATCCAAGGTCGCAACGAGAATGTCATCGATCGCCCCGACATCTTCGCCCAGCTCGAAATCCTCTTGCCGCCAAAGTCCGAGTACCAGAGCGCCGCCCTCTGCGGCCTCGGCGGTTCCGGGTAAGCCATTGACTGCTCTTGCAAATGGTGCGCAGACTAACAACCAAAAGGAAAACCCAGGTGGCGCTTGAATACGGCCACCGCCGATGCCGCGACCCCGCATGCTCCGTCTTCTGGGTCCACGCCGACAACGAGACGACGTTCGCGCAGGATTACAAGACGATCGCAAGGAAGCTAGGCCTCGCAGACAACCTCGACGGCAAGGAGCTGCTGGTGGCTGTGCGCGAGCGCATCGAGGCGGACCCATGCTGGGTGGTCATCTTCGACAACGCCGACGACCTGGCGTTGTTTGGCGTCGGCCAGACGTCCCACGACACGTCGGGTGGCCAGGTGGAGGAATCGACGGGGAAACCAGCAAGCTTGTACGACTACATCCCGCAAGGTGCCACCGGGACGGTGCTGTGGACAAGCCGCGACGGACGAATCGTCGGAACTCTGGTTGGCGCGCCGCGGGGGATCCGGGTCGGCCCAATGTGCGGTGACGAGGCGATGGCACTACTGGAGACATCAAGAAACGAAAAGATCAGCAGTGAAGAGGTTGGCGACGCTGGGAAATTACTCGAAAAGCTCCAGTGGCTCCCTCTGGCCATCTCGCAAGCTGGAGCATACTTGCGGAGGACGTCGATGATGATAACAGAGTACTTGTCCAGACTGGAGGAGGAAAAGGAGCGATGGCGAGTCCTCGAGGCGACGGAATTTGATCGGCACCGACGACCCAACGTACCCAACAGTATTTTGGAGACGTGGAGCATTTCAATCGAACGTATTCGACTAGGCAACGAAATGGCATACAAAATACTGCACATTATTGCGTATGTTAACAACCAAAACATCCCGTTTGAGATACTAGCGGCAGCAGGTATGTTCGGCGACGAGGTACCGAAGGGGGAGTCGTGGGAGGATAAGGATCGGGTGGTGGAAGCTGCCACTCGACTAAAGGAGTTCTCGTTCCTCGAGTTGAACAGGGGAGAAGGGGGTGTGCAGAGCTACGAGATGCACAAGCTTGTTCAAGAGGCCACCCGATACAGACTCAGTGGGAGCAAGTCTGAAGGCGGAATATACTTTGCAAATGGGGCGATACAGATCATGGCAAAGCTCTTTCCCAAGCCGAAGCAAGAAACATGGGCAGAATGTGAGAAGTACATTGCGCATGCAGAACAAGTAGGCGAGTGGGCAGAGATTTGTAAGAAGGAGGTGGAGGTATCAGATCTTTTGACTCAAGTTTCGCGCTATTTATTCGAATGTGGGAGATGGAGGGAGAAGGAGCCGGTGGATAAGAGGGCATATGAGCTTCGGAAGCAGGTACTGGGGGGAAATGATCTGCGTACGATTTGGAGCATGGCATCGCTTGCGATAACATACCTTGAACAGAGGAAGTTTGACGAGGCGGAGAAGATCAATGTGGAAGCGTTGTTAAGGTTGCGGCAAGAGGGTTTAGGCAATGAGCATGACGAGACGATTCTGATCATGGTGTCACTTGCGGCGACATACCAGGGACAGGGAAGGTGTGACGAGGCGGAGAATATCTATATGGAAGCGTTGGGGCTGCTGCAGGTTCTTGGGGACAAGCATCACGAAACGATGGAGACCATGGCATTACTTGCAATAGTATACAATGCACAGGGGAGGTATGACGAGGCGGAGAGGATCCTGGTGGAAGCGTTGAGGCTATGGCGCGAGATTCTTGGGGACAACCATCTCGACACGATTGCCAGCATGGGGTTACTTGCAATGACATACCATAGACAGGGGAGGTATGACGAGGCGGAGAGGATCCAGGTGGACGTGTTGAGGCTACGGCGCAAGGTTCTTGGGGACAACCATCTCGACACGATTGCCAGCATGGGGTTACTTGCAATGATATACCATAGACAGGGGAGGTATGACGAGGCGGAGAGGATCCAGGTGGACGTGTTGAGGCTACGGCGCGAGGTTCTTGGCAACAAGCATCCCGACTCTCTGCACGCAATGTCTGACCTTGCTGTTACCTGGAAGAGCCAAGGCCGACGCGACGATGCGCTTGCCATGTTGGAGGAGTGCTTGCAACTGACACGCAGTGTCTTGGGGCCGGACCACCCCGAGGCGAAAGTTTAGACCAAACTCTTAATCGCTGGAAGGCTACAGAAACGCCAGAAGTGCTGGGTGTCTAGTGTGAAGAGAATGTTATTAATGAAAGTGCACCTGTCCACCCCTTACCACTTACTGGGCCCGGCGCCTGCCCCCATGTGTGTACTTGTACAAGGGGCTAGTCTCGGAGTTCCAAACGTGATCACCCGGACTCGAGGTGAGCTGGGCCGTGCACATGTCATATACTGTAGATTAAAGTCGCTCCTGGTCGCACGATAACAGTATTCCAGCCTTTGACTAGCAAGGACCATGGCTCCCCTCAAGGAAGGTATTGTGTCATCAGAACCTATAATAGTCTTCCACACATCAGCGGCGCGTCCCGTGCCCCCATCGAACAGTCTGGAGATCTTCAGGACTGTAGACTGGCTGCTCCCTTCTCAACGAGGCTTGAGAGGCTGGCGGGACTTCTTACGGTAATTGGTTGGCACAGGCTCTTCCGGGTCGGTCAGGAAAGCCTTGGTGGCAGAATGAGACCCCTTTGCTAGGCCTTCGTCAGCGCACCACGCACGCCCCCAGCACAGGACGCACACCCTTGGCACACCCACGAAGAAGGCAATTGCTGCGGTTTAGATTTAGAGACAGGCCTAGTAGGGGGGTGGGGGCACGGACCACTTTCCAAGTGCCAAGCAGCCGCTAAAATACATTCTTTGAAATTACGGAATACGAGACACGTCACCCATATATGTCTGTCTCAACCAGCGTGTCGTCCAGCACTTCTTTCCCGTGGCGGCGCCATCATCCAACGCGTTGCCACTGGTTCGAAATGTCTGAGCACGGTCTGGATCGTTCACCCTCCCCAAGCGAGGACTCAACTTCGTATTCCATGAGCGACATATCATGGACAGTCCGTCTCATGGAGCTGCCGCCAGAACTCCAAGCCGAGGTGTTCCTTCATCTACCGAACTGTATGGCCGCAGTTGCACTCCGTCTCTGCTGTCGCCAACTCAACGAGGTCTTACTCCAAAACGAGAAGAGGATTCTCTCCTCCCTACGCGAGCTGCTCGTAGCCCCATTCCGGGAGTTCTACGACTTTCTCCAGCGCCTGAAGCTTCCCGCCAACTCGGTAAAACTGCCGCCCCCTTCCGGCTGGCCGAACATGACGCCTGTGGCCTGCGCTGGCCTTGACAAGACGCCATTCGCGATCGATGTCCTGAGACATCTTCCTTACATCGACGAATTGCACGTCAAGTCCAATGAGACTAATATCGACTACAAATGCAATGCGGTGGACTATTCGAAATTTACTTCTGATAACTTCAGCACGTACCGCGAGGAGGAATTCTGGGCTTTGGAGTGGCAGGGAGTAGACGAGGAGGAGCGCATCTCTGGAATCAAGCATGTTGTCATGATCGCCGAAGGATACGAGAGCGGCGGCATCGTTCTCCTCTTGGACACCTTCACCGGTACCATCTTTGAGGAGATAGTGAGGACGGATTCAGGTGTCAGGCTACCTCCCGATGAATACTTTCGGTCGAGGATGGAGAGACTTCGAAAGCTGGACCAAATTTTCGTCGCGGGTTTTGACCCTTGGAAGGAAGATGGGAACATTTCCAGCGACGATTTCGAGGCCGCATATGACGCCGACCATATGGAGAGCCAAGGCGAACCAGTGTGGGCTGAAGGCGATTTCGACCAAGATGAAATGTTCTTGTGGGTGAGGCACTTACATCGAAAGTTTGGCTGGCCGGGACCTGATTGGAAGAAAGGGGAGTGCATGGAGGCTGTTGAGGACTTTGTTCAGCGGCTGCCGATTTGGTAAACTACCTATTGAGTTGAAATGCAGTGACTAGCTACTGGTCTGCGAGGAGTATTCTAGCTTCTCTAGAGCACTAACGAACATGTTAGCATCTAGATCCCCGGCCATATGTCAATGCAACACGCTGTCTCAGTCCCTGTCGTGAGTTACAGGTTTTGGATAGTTTGGGAGAGGGCACGAATTGTCCAAGACACGAATACTCCCAAGTCCAGTGTTCTGCTGAGTCTCTTGTTATCGGTGCTGGCATTCGGAGGAAGCATGACCGGGCCGCCTTTGGCATCGCGGATGAATAGGCTTCTGGTAAGCTATCCTGGAATTTGGGGATTAACTCCCGAAAACTAACTTAACAGGTTTCTTCAGGTGTGTATGCGACCAACCACATACTTGTCTGCGATGCTCCCTTCCTTCTTAATCAACTTCGATCCTGGCAGTGCATAGGATGGGAACGAATAGCCCCGTGGATTCCAAGTGAGAGATCATAGGCTGATCTTCCACTTCAAAACCTCTCAGGGATCCAACACGGAGAAAGAGCAAGTTGTTCTTGATGGCCAAGTGGGTTCTGCCTTCGTTGCTTTTACGAAATCCTTGTAGAGATTAATATTTGCTTCAATGTTAACGCCATTAGACTAGCTGATTCTGCGTAGAATTTATGTCTCATTAGAACTAATAAAATTTAGTCGATATTTTGGAAGGGACAATGAAATACGTTCAATGTTAAGCTGACGATGACCAACACTACCTACTCAAATCATAAAGTATGTCATCTGGGAAATCTCAGAATACCCGAACCGTAAAGTCTCCACACAGCCTCCCACCACATTGGAATACAACTCCGTAGATTTCCCAGTCAAAATCAAGCAGCTTATCCAACCCCGCCGGGGGATATAACTTGGACATGTCGGAGTTGTCCTGGGATTTATCCTCCCCTTCCAGATCCTGTCCCTGTACTCTGCGGGCCAGCAACTTGTCCAATGAAGCTAGATTAGGCGGTTTAAAAATGTCCAGAAGTTGGTGGAGATTGACACGGCATAACTCCACGGGCCCATCCGACTCGGTAACCTCCGGCCAGACGAGAAAGAAGAAGTCGGGGTCTGCACCAGCTCGGAGGTGGGCCTCTAGGACTTCGGCGAACCTCTTCAGCCACTCTAGACTGAGATGAGGGGGCCAGGTGGCCTCAACGCGGCGCTTCCAGCAGTATGTACGGACATTGCTGGCAAAGTCCCGGAGGATGACCATCCACACCGGAACGCTGCCAACGTCGCCACTTACTGTGTTAAGAGATGATGTCGCAATCGCTGTCTCGACGAGATCTGTTGAATGCCCTCCTCTCGATAAGATATCCCGGACCAGTTCGACGTCAGTACCAATTGACGCGCTAAGGAGGAGGTTGAGCTCCGTGGTGTCAACTTGATCGATAGAGACCCCACTCGAAAGCTTTTGCCGGACGTACGCGCCCTGGTGCCAATATGCTGCCCAATGAAGGAATGAACAGTCATGGCCGTCTATGGTGTGCCACCTTCGCGATGAGGTTTCGGTGATCTCCATCTTTCCTAGGAAACATGGACCCCATCGAGGAGATCGGCTGCCCCGCCGTGCGAGCGCCTTTGCTGGTGATTTGGAAATGATGTGATCGAACTGTTGAACGTATTGTAAGGGAGGCGTGTGGCCCTCCCTGACACGGTCAGAAAGCCAGATGAATGTGTACTCGAACATGTCCCGGATTCGGTCCTGTGGGGCGACGTTTGGAAAGAACTGAGCTTCTGCGATGTAAAGCCGACAGTACGCCCGCATTTCGTCCTCGGCTGACGAGAAGAGCGGGCGCCTAATCTTCCACTCGTCCCGCAAGAAGTCGCGGACGGAGCGGTGGAAAAAGTCGACGCGGTACCTCAGATATAAGTCAGTTGGGGATTGGAGAGTAGAAATCTCAGTGGTGTCCTGAATCTCCAGAAGGCCTTGCGTCAGCAAGTGCAGAAGCTTGCGGGCCTTGGCGAGCTTTTCTTCGATGACGGAGGAGTCATACGGCTCTATAGCCCGATCGAAAGGGAACTCGGAGCGAGCTGAGTCCTGAAACCAGCCCAAGTCTCCAAGCCAGGCGCAAAGCAGCCCGTTGAGTGGGCGGTTGATAGTGCTGTTAGTTACAAGATACAGCAGCATGTCGGACCTCCTCCGTACATGCGGAGTTGGATCGACCCGGTCCAGCATCTGGCGGAACATGGCGTTCAAGTCGGTGGGGAAATCCTTGACCCTCTCGTGGAGGGACACCTCGTCGTCATCGCCTTCCAGGACGCCGTTTATCAGCGACTGCACGACGAAAACAGCCCAGACGAAAACGCCCTCAGCCTTGTCGACGATATCCACGACCAGTCCTTGGCAAATGTCATGCCCCGATTTGTAGTCCGGGGCGAGCAGCTCACTCTCGAACCGAGCCCTCGCGAACTTTGTAAGGTCGCTTCGATTTAGCTGCCCGAAGTCGACAATGGTGCCGGAATCTGTGAAAACCTTGAGAAATATCGTATCTGGACGAGCGGAGCAAATGATCTTGACGGCGTCAGAGCGCGCCCAGGCGGCCAACTGCTCTGCTAGCTGTCTGTGGTCTGAACTCTTTCCTTCGTACTCATCCAGCCCGTCTATGAAGTAGCAAAATCGATGGGTATCAACATCGGTATGCTCCATCAGCCTCCCGAAGGCCTCTGCGAGCTCCTTGATTTGGAACTCGGCCGCATCCGGCGTTCCTACCGTATCCCGACAAGGGAAGACTTTGGGCATGAGCTCAGGACATTGACACAGCGTATGGTAGATGATCGTGCGGTGGAACCCCTCGAGTGACTTCTGCAACGGATCGTCCGATCTCCAGAAGAACAAGTTAATGGTAACCAACTTCCGGCCCCCTGCCCAACCGGCCAGCTCCTGTCGAACAAGACTGTGATGTGCGAGGAACTTCATAAGAGTGGACTTCCCGCAGCCTGCCTTGCCGTAGATGAAGAATGTGCTGCCGTTGTACGCAAGAAACTGCTGCAATTCCTTCGACACGAGTTGTCGACCTATGTCTTCGGTCGTCATCAGCATCAGCTGGAATGAAGAGGGGGTTCCGCTTGTATTTGGAGCAACTGCGATCTGATGGCGGATTCCCTCTACCGCCCAGCTAAAGGTTCCGGAGGCAGGCCGCTCTATATTGCCCTCTCGGCGGAGTATTGAGGCAAAGTGCAACCTTCGGAGGACTCGATTCTCTCTGGGCAGAGACTCGACCAGAGACTGGAATTCGCCGAGTTGGTGCACTAGCTTTTCGAGTGAGCTTCCATGCTCCGACATTTCTGTTCGTCGTTGCTCCATTCTTGGATCTTGCACCAGGTTGAGAAGCTCGTCGAATTTACCGGAGAGATGATCAATTTTCTCCATGGCCTGATTAGACGTGGAAGTCAGACGTTGAACTTTATCCGCGACGTCGGTACTCTGCCCTCGAAGTCCTTGACACTCCATTTGAAGAGTAGCAGATAGCTTGCTCTCCAAGTCCTCCATGCGCCGCGCGCTGGTGTTTGAAAGATCGACACCAATCTGGTGGAGCTCTTGCAGATGCTGCTTAATGGGGGACTGCGCTGCGCTGCGGGTAGACATCAGCGCCATCTCCGAGCTATCTTGAAGTGAAAGGGGGCTCCGTACAAGAGAAGGATAAGTAACCTGAGCTGAACTTGCCGTCGGTACTTGTCAAGTCGATTCTCCATAGATATCACGTTTTTCTGCTTCCTCAGGACAGCCCAGGCCGCGGCGAGGCTCCCCCACACGCCTCCATGCTTGTTCTTGAGTTTGTCTAGCTCCTCAAGCAATTCGCGCGACAATCCTTGGCAGTCCTTTGATACTTTCACCAGCTCATGGTCATTTTTCGCCTCTGGAATAATGTCCAAGCTTCTTGCTGCCTTCTCCAAATCATTGACGATGGCGGTGATATGGACATTCTCTTGGGTGGCCCCGCAAACTGAGTTGTGAACCTCATAGGCTCCGCGGACTATCTTTGTCGCAATGTCGATGAATGTGAGAATGCTAGAGGCAAATCCCACAGCTTCCATGATTTGGGAGCGTCCGGCTTTTATATAATGGAGTGCAAAACTTTGTCGAACCTTCCCGTCCGCTGCTTGGATGAGGGGAATGGGATGATAGAAAACCCAGCCGCACTCTCAGCCTGCAGATTCATGTGCCCCTCACCTGGAGGCGTTGTACTTGGTTGCACTTGTACATGTACATCGCTTGCCTTCTATTGGGCATCAAGTCTTGGTGCCCAAAAGCACATTTTACTGTGTATCACTACAAACACTCCTGGGCGAAATTACCATGCTCGTTCAGCATGTGAAGAGCTAGCTGGTAACAGAGCTCCTAGAGGATTTGTCAGGCAATGTAGCCACATAGGCAGCACTTTAAACCATTTAGGCTTAATGTTTTTGATAAAGGGTATCGGCTCACATCTCGGCGCAGGGAATTTAAACTCGCTAATTAGTTCTCCTTGTTTCGTATAACGTCTTTTTTAGTTCATGAAGAGGCTCAACCATAACATCGTGATGCCGTGTCTGCATCCTGTCTTGTGGGGTAAAAGAAACCCAATTCTACCAGAGGCACATCGAGCCTTGTGTACCATATGGCGTAGAAAAGTCCCATTGGGATTTGTATTCTCCTCGCGATGAACTTGACCAATTGGTAATAGCCACGCTGCTTCCAAGGTGGTGTCTTCGCGACCGTCCTGTCCTTGGTACTCCTCCCCTCTCCTCTCTATTTCACGTAGTGATTATCAGCTCAAATCCCAATAATTCAACAGTGTTGCGGAAGGTGTAAAGTGCGCGGGATTGGGACAGTTAACATTGGAGAGTTCGACCCGGGCGCAGAGTGACGGATGACTGCAGTCCAAGTGAATGAAACGTGAATGCCTACCTCTCAATACGCTGGTTGCCGTCGCGTAAGCCCGGATCTCTTCTTTGGATAACACGCGGAGCACAATAACAAAGTCATTCCGAACCTCGAAACGCTCCTTGCCGATCGTCAACGCCTCAAGGCTCACTAGTTCAAGGGCTATCTTGGTCCATCTCGTACCAGGAGGAGCTTCTGTGACGGTATCCGGGAGAGGTGCGACACCTCCTCGGGTGGGGCTCAGCTCTTCTGCAAAGTTCAGAGTCGGAGACTTGAGAATTCCTTTCGGACGAAGACCCGCACTCTTCTCGCTATTAGACCGAAGGGCAGGATCAATTGTAGAGACGTGCTCATCTAGCGAGCCGGTCCTCTCCGCTTCGTGATGTGGATCAAAAGAAACCAGCTCGTCAAAATCAATATAACTGTCGTCGTTTTTATCGTCGCCCTGTCCAATATCTATGTAACGAGTGTCCCAGTATGCACAACCTCTTTCAGTGTAGTTGGTGGTATTGCTAGATTCGCTAGTATTAGAGCCTACCATTGCTCCCTTCCCACCTAGAGGTGAATCGGTTTCACCCCCTTTTTCCCCTTCTCTTCGATGCAAGGTATCCATTGCTGTTGTCACATCACTCAACGCCTCGCTGACAAGTGTCAACTCCGTCGGTAACAAATCGCGCGTGCTTCGGCGCCGCCAAACGGCAAGACTGAGTCGAGTGTGTACCTAGGCTAGGTTGTGGGCTTTGGGGCAGGGTCGGGGTCGGGGCTTCGGCAGCGTGGACAGCCCCACGAAACGGTTGGGCTGCGATGGATGGTCATGGGCCTGCAGCCAGAGCGTAATTAGGTGCCCTGCATGGGCATTACGGCAGGCTGTCCCGGTACGACGAGCGATAAGCTTCCCACTTGCCACGGATTCTGGTGTTGCCGCAGTATAATAATTAACACCGAATCCAGCTGGAGCTCCCACAATGTTTCCTGCAGAGTGAAGACGTTTGATTTCACGCTATATCGCCGCTGCCTCCAATAACACCAGCCAGGTGGAGACAACTGTTGCTTCATGGACTCACTGTGGCGATCCAGTGCATTCACCGAATTTGATTTTGACACTTTCGACTACGTGCCCGACAATGCTAAGTTGGAGTCCGAGCAGCATGCCACTGCGATCCAGGCCAAGTCGGCGGACGTGAAGGAAAATCTTTGGCCTTCAGCGAACCTGCATCTTGGACTAACTTGTGCTTAGAAACATACAGGCTGGCTTACACTCTGTAAGATGAGTGCTGAGCCTCAGTGGGGTGCTTGGTGTGACAGTGTATGGACGACTCTGCTCTCAGGCTCATTTTCCAACTCCCATCGATTAATGCTCTTCTAGTTATTATTACCCGGTTCCTGTGACTCGAATAATACCAATCTCAACGTCATGTACGTTTCACCATCCGACCTTGCTGCTATCCCTCCTGTGTCCTCTCCATGCGATGGTCCGGGGTGGTTTGGTGTATCTCCGAGGTTCCCCCGCGAGAAAACTAATTAGTCGCGGGCCAGTGACTCGTGCTTTCAGAGGTCGATTGGGGTGGAGTTGCGTTTCCTTGCTTGTTTTATGACCTTGCATATGCATATATGGCTTCTTCGCGGTGTTCGAAAATGCCAGATAGTCAGTCTCGTCGAATTTCCCTCTTCTCTTGGTAGGTATTATTAGAATACCCATCCAGTTGACTGGCAATGTGCGCTGAGATATATATATATATTTTGGCTCCCAAAAGCTGTCCCACAATTTCCAGAGAGGACTTGAGCATCAACTTCTAGTGTGACGAGATGATTATCCCAACGGCTTAGAGAACGCTGGCAATTCATCGTGAATCATGCATCGAATTGTATTCGATTCGGCACACTTCCCTGCCCTAAGCCCGTGTGGCTTGTCAGACTTTCCGGAGAAGCTTCTTCAAGAGTCTCAAACCTAAAGCCATGCAAATGCCGAAGCCAGAAATGAAGTAAAAGGTCCTAGACAGAACAAAGGCGACCAACAATGATTCCAACAACAGCACATCGGTGTCGCCGAAAACCAGTCGCAAAACGCTCGCAGAGGTATCCCCAGGGCCAAGATATTCCGTCTTCCTCTTCTTCCACCAGCCACATAGATCCCTGATCGACTTCTTCGACTGTGGGAAATTCCTCTCGGACAGAGCCAACTTCAACCACTGGGGACGTTCCGCCGGTAAATACCGAGGAAGCCAACACGGCATCAGAGCACGCGCGCCCTCCGGCACGAGTTCAGAGACCCACGGCGGCAACGGCAGCGGCGGCACCTCGGCATCGTCACCCTCCTTGACCGTCTTCGGATAATTGAGATCAAACAGGGCATTGACATATCTTGCCAACTCCCTCCCAAAAGCCGATTCCTCGACAAAGAAATACCCCACGACAGCCAAGCTCACAGCCCAGCTCACCACCCCCGGCAGCAGCAGGTACGCCAACGCCTGCACGAAGCTACACCACCGCCACCTCAGCGGCGAGGTCCTCACGGCCCTGACGAAGCACTCGACGTCGTACAGAACGTAACTCATCCAGGAGACCCTGATAAAGCAGTCCCACCGCTCCCCCCTGCCGGCGTGGTCGTCCTCTGTCTCCTCCTCGTGTGGCTTGATGCGCCTCTCCAGGCGGCGCGCCCAGAAGGGCCGGAGGCATCCGGCCTCGTCGTAGGGCTCCGCATCGCAGAACCTCCTCCAGCGGTTCACCGCGGCGATGGCGACGTCGGAATTGGTGAGGAAGTATTCGCGGTGGTTTGTCGGGCAGAGGAGGCAGTCCCCCTGGTCGACGCGGTGGTTGAGTAGCTCCTTCTGGGCCAGGCGCTCGACGCGGAGGTAGTGGCGAACTGGGATCGTGTTGACGCCTGGGGCGAGGTTGTATTGCCAGTTCTTGTGCAATTTTTCCAGCTGGGCCATTCGGTCTTGGATGGTCTTTGTTGTCGAGCCGACCTTGACAACTGTAGTTGGGGATAGGCCGCGGCGGACATGGAAAGTGTATGGGATACCGTTGGTCTCGTTCAGATCTTTGTCGGGAAGTTGTTCTTTGATCACTTTGCTGATTTCGTCGTCGACTTCGTAGGGACTCTTTACTTCTCTGGCTGCTGGGTTTCCCCTGGTCTCGTCACCGTCGGGGATCTTGCGCTCCTTCTTGGACCTATCTACACCGGCCCTTCGGCTGGGTGTCCCCTCCTCATCCTCGCCGGTTCTTGTTCCTGGGGTGACGCTAGAGTGATAGCCCGAATCGCCCGAGTTGCGGGTTACCGGTTTATTACGCCGGGGATTAGGCGGAGTGTTAGGCTGGCCTGTAACTGGCATAGAGCCTGCGGGATAGCTTTGTGCTGTGGAGGTGTCTGCCATTGAGATATTCAGCGCCGACGCACAAGCTGCCAAAAGTTAATTGAGAGGAGACTGGGAGAAGTCGTGGAGAAGCTGTAATCAAGGAGGCTGGGCTAGGACCTAGTGGGCACAGTTATAGGCCTCCTTTCCCCCCTGGCTCTGCGTGTGCTCGCTTCAGGCTTGGGCGGGGCAGTGCAATTCACCTGCCTGGTTCTGCTCACCGAGATCTAGACCCGACGGACTGGTTGAGCCGCTCGACTCCGATTTCCCACTGGTCCATCCCTAGCGGTAAAGATTCATCGCCTTCGCATACATGCACTGGGATATTTATAGGCAGCCAACTGACCAAATCATCCCGTCATTGGCCGGAGAGACAGGATAAAGGCGCAGCCTATATACTCGAGCCCGAGACTTCCTCGTGACGGGCCGCTCCCAGGGTATTGGCCTGCGCATGGAGCTCGGCTTCTTCGACGTGACGTAATTAGGACCCAACTTGCACAAGCTCCGAAGGCATGGCCATTGCTGGCGATCGTCGTATCGAGACCACACAGCATCCTGCCGTGTATAAGGTATTGCGGTGATCCTAAGTCACTGCCGACGTAGCCGACCCAAACAATAATCTTGTGAGCCGCCCCGAGTTGTATCATTTTGGCGATTGGGACGGACCAAGTGCCCTTTTCACAGCGCAAGATGCGATGGTTTCGAGCTAAGAAGACCGCGCCAACTTCCTCGCGGCCCCGACGACTTCCTCCCATAATCCCACAGCAACGGGCTCCACCTCTCTCCTCGCTCGAGGCCTCTCCCCTCGTCCCACTTCTAGCGTCGTCTAGTGCCCCCAGCTAGTCCACGCCATGCTCACTACCGGAACACTCCTGTTGTCTCCGCCAACCTTTGGCTTGAGGGTGAGGTGTCTTCCCCCAATGCCTGATTTCCTTGCCTCGATATCTGCCTTTAGCCTTGCAAACCCCATGTCCTTCCGCGGTATTCGACTTCTAGCTTCTTCTACTGTCGCCTGCCCAGAGCGAATCTTCTGCCACTCTATGCACACCTTGTTCTTTGCCGAGGGCAGCATGACTTTGTCAAACAGCTCCATAAATAACGTGTCCTCAGGGGGGAGTTGGTTAACCAAGGGCTTGGGCACAACAGTCTCAAGGTAGGTCGCCTGTAGGAGGAAATATCTCGTGATGCGGTTATTCAGCCCAGGGGATGGGTACCGGTTAGCAATGACATGGATAATTCCTAAGGCAGGGAGTTAATAGGTAGTCTTAGGGGATGGAAGGGGTTAGAGGGGATTTCAAGGCAAATAGACCAACCATCAAAGTAATGTAACTTGTCTGGAAATCGAACTCGGGATTCGGGAAGAAGCACAGTATTGGAGGAATAATTATCGAGCTCGAGATCCAGACATCAGAAGCTGGCAGAGACGAGCTTGACACAGCACTGGTCATTGGGGTTGTGCCTGAAAGAAAACCCTGGCCAATCCTCGTCGGTCTGGGATGCTTAATATGTGCTGATTGCGCTGTGAAAACCCCGGCGGGGGGGGGGGGGGGGGGGGGCGGCCGCCCGGGGGGGGGGGGGGGGGGGCGCGGGGGGGGGGGCGCGCGGCCGCGGGGGCGGGCGCGGGCGGCGGGGCGGGCGCGGCGGGCGGGG